ACAGCCCTTCTTTCTCCCATGATTGTTCTCTCCAAGGAGTATATCTACCTCAGGTAAATGTTCAGCTAATATGCCTGTGTTTTGTTTGTCTGGAAGCCATAGGTGTGGGTTCAGTTCCAGGCCTGAAGGGTAGCTAGGGGCTATAGTCTCAGTGGTTCCACCAGCCTCTATCAGACCGGCAAACCTGGTCACCCTTTTCTTCCTTTTTTTTTTCCCCAAATTATTTTGAGTTTTGTTCCACACTGCTCTCCCTCTCCATCCAGGGTCTCCTACATAGATCCCCCTCTGAGTGTGACAGCCGGGCACCATCTAGTTTCTCTGGTCTCATAGTCTTATAGGCTGTGGATTGCATGGCGTACCAGTTGCTAGGACTAATTGTTTCCATGAATCCTTGGGTCTTCTTCATTCTTCTTTGCTCTGGATGAGGAAAGAATCGTCATTGCATCCAGATGGCTGCTTTCAAGCTCCTAAGATCCCAGTCACTACTCGCCAAAGCAGGGAGTGGAACAATGTTTTGTGTAGTATGTAATGCTAGTTGAGCTTGATGTCCCCTGGAACTATGGTCCCAAGCCAACAGTTTCAACTACTTGGTCCCTTTGGGTAACTAGCTGTGACCAAGAAGTGATTCCAGCTTGTCCCTTGTCAGCTCTGCTATACACTTGGGAATTCTTACAGATCATACAACTACACTTACAAGACTACTGACTGCCAATCCTATACATGGTCTTGACTACACTCCCCGCTTCATAGACAAACCTAATAGTTCAGCTTGTCCACCCATATACCCATATTTGCCTTCACTGACAACATGGTTCATGTGTATCTTTGCAACAAAGTTTTTATATTAAGGGTTTGATTTTACTTAATTAATAAACATTTGTAATAGCCATAAAGAGTCATTGTTAAAACAAGGCCTTTCTCCACCCCTACGTAGGGACTGCCACTTTCAGTTCTTTAAGCTTTTTCTTAACATATTTACCTTTGTAACTCTATACAATAGGATTGTATTTTCATAAATTCTACTTTTTTAAATGTTAGTCTAGTTATTGTAATGTTGATCAGTATTGTACTTATAGTATTATGATTGTATAAACACTACTGACAGCAGAGCATGTGGAATACTACGGTGATTTTTCCATGTTTACATAATTTCTTTGTTTTCTCTGGAATTAATTATTGTCTTTTTTACTTGTTTAGTTTTCTATGAACTTCTCACACTACATTAGCCCTGAACCATTTTTTTCAGGACATTCAGGGCTCTTAAGCTTTCTGTTTTATCTTTTTGTAGAAGCTTCTCTTAGAGTCTCCTGATTTCTAGTTTCTATTGTTGCTTTCTGTACCTGGTGCACAACTGTCACCTCCCTTCACTGTCATCCTTGGAGATTGTCCTTTGCCAGTCCCGTGTTAGATACCACTTTTCCTGGGTTCCCTGTCTTCTTGCTTATTTTACATCCTTGATTTGGTTGAAGATAGTCTATAATGACCTTTATTCTATTCATACTTGATTCATAGTTAGTAGGAGTGTAGAATTCTAGGTTGGAAATAATTTTCCTTTTAACTTTCTAAGACATTGTTCCCTTGCCTTTGATCTTCAGTGCTCTGTTGAGGAGTATGAGGCCAGTCTGACCTGACTGACCTTAAATATGTAACTAGGGTTTTTTTTTTTCCCCCCTGTGGAATCTTCTCTTTGTCCCTAGTGTTCTTAAATTCCCAGACCCTTGGCATGATCCTTTTCTCATTCTTTGTACTGGGCACTTGGTAATCCCTTTTAATCTAGAAACTCATGTCCTTTAGTTCAGGGAAATTTAATTATTAAATGATTTTCTAATTTTGTCTCTCCTGTTTTCAATTTCCCTTTCATTTTTTCTGGGTATTTCTTCAACCATCATCATCATTTTTTTTTAAAACAGGTTTATTTAATATAATTTATGTATAAAGAGTTCACTCATTTCAAGTATACAATTGTATGTGAATGCATCCTGTGCAGTCATTATCACAATCTAATTTTAGAACAGTTTTCATCACCCCCCCCACAAATAAAACCTTGTACCCATTAATAGTAACTCTCTATTCCTCCCACCCTCAAGCACACGGCAACCACTAATTTATTTTTTGTCTAAATGTATTTGCCTGTTTTGACCATTTCATATAATTGGACTCATACACAATATATAGTCTTTTGTGACTGGCTTCTTTAACTTAGCATAATTTTTTCAGGGGTCATTCATGTTGTAGCACATATTAATACTTCATTTCCTTTTATTGCTTCATATCCTTCATATGAATGTA